CACCTCACTGGGAGTATGACCTGAAGATAGAGCTTGAGGAAGGAACAACCCTGCCATTAGGCACCATCTACTCCACTGTCCCTGGTCAAGCTCCAAGCTCTCCAGACTTTCATTGATGAAAACCTCCCCACCAGTTTCATTTGCCCAACCTCTTCCCCCTATGCTGCACCAGTCCTCTTCATTAAGAAGAAGAACAGATCCCTTCAGCTCTGTGTAGACTTCCACAGCCTGAACAAAATCACTAAGAAAGACCAATACCCACTACCACTCATCTCCAACCTCTTAGACTCACCAAGCTGAGCCAAGATCTATACCAAGATTGATCTCTGGCATGCCTACCATCTCATCCAGGTTGCCCTGGGTGATGAATGGAAGACTGCATTCCAGACTTGGTATGGTTCCTATGAGTGGTTAGTGATGCCCCTTGGCCTCACCAATGCCCCAGCCACCTTCCAACACTTCATGAATACCATCTTTGTGGACATGTTGGATGTCTGCATAGTCATCTACCTAGGTGACATCCTAATCTACTCCAGAGATAAGGAGTCCCATAAGCAGCATGTCTGAGAAGTACTCCACTGGCTTCAGCTTCATGGTCTTTATGTGAAGCCAGAGAAATGTGAGTTCCACTTGGACTTGGTTGAGTATCTCAGTTTCCACCTCTCCCCTGCCAGCCTCACAATGTCCAAGGAAAAAGTCCAGACCATCTGCGACTGGCCTGGGCCTTGCAAGGTCAAGGACATACAATCTTTCCTCAGCTTTGCCAACTTTTACCACCACTTTATATTCAACTACTTGGACATCATCATACCACTGACTCAGCTTACCTGCAGGGGTGCTCCTTGGAAGTTCTCTGAGTGCCACCAGTCATTCAACAACATCAAGGCCACCTTTACTACTGTACCAGTCTTAACTCACTTCATCCCTGGGGTCCCCATTACTGTAGAGACCAATGCATCAGACTATGCCATTGCTGGCATTCTGTCCATCACCTGCAGCAACAGCCAGATACATCCAGTGGCCTTCTACTCCTGAACTCTAACTGCCCTGGAGCTGAACTATGATACCCATGATAAGGAATTGCTTGCCATCTTTGAAGCATTCCAGACCTGGCATCACTACCTTGAGGGTTCAGCCTCACTGATCGATGTTGTCACCAACCATAAGAACCTTGAGTACTTCTCTACCTCCAAGGTACTCACCCACTGCCAAGCTTGCTGGTCAGAGTTCCTCTCCCAGTTCAATATGGTCATTAGATTCAGACCCGGTAAGCTTGGGGCTAAGCCTGATGCCCTAACTAGACAATGGGATGTCTACCCCAAAGAGGGGGATAGTGGCTATGCCCAAGTGAACCCACAGAACCTGAGACCGGTCTTCACCCAGGAGCAACTAGCAGTCTCCCTCCATGCTACTTATCTCAAGTACCTGGTCTTATGAGCAGTCATGCTAATGGACATAGAGAAACTACACAATGATATCCTGGCTGCACTGCCAGATGACTCAGTCCCACAAGTCCACCTGCCCAAGATGTCTGATCCCTGGTGGTCAGTAGATGTCACTGGCTTCCTTTGGCTTGATGGAAGGATCTATGTGCCAGACTCAAATGACCTCTGCCTTAGGGTCTTGCAGCTAAGCATGACCACCCTCTGTCCAGCCACTTTGGCCAAAACCGAACTCTAGAGCTCATCTGGTGGGAGTATACCTGGCCTGGCCTCAGGACCTTCATCAAAGACTACATCCAGTCTTGCATGGCCTGCACTTGGGCTAAGGTCCCCCACCATTGGCCTTACAGCCTCCTCAAACAACTCCCAGTGCCAGAGAAGCCATGGAATTCCATCTCAATGGATTTTATTGAGCAACTCCTGGCCTCATCTGGCTTCATGGCCATCCTCATAGTAGTTGACTGGCTTTCCAAGCAGGCCATCTTCATCCCCACCCATGACACTATCACAGCCCCAGAACTCACCAAACTCTTCTTACTCCATGTCTTTTCAAAGCATGGAGTACCAGCCCATGTAACCTCAGACCAAGGCTCGGAATTCATTTCACACTTCTTCCAGTCACTCAGCAGGGCCTTAGACATGAAGCTGCACTTCACCTTGGGTCACCACCCTGAGGGCGATGGCCAGACTGAAAGGACCAACCAGACACTAGAACAGTATCTCCAAGTCTATTGTAACTATCAACAGGACAACTGGGCTGACCTCTTACCTTTGGCCAAGTTTGCTTACAACAATGCCCCTAGTGCCACTACTGGTGTCTCTCCTTTCTTCACAAATAAGGGCTACCATCCCACCATCTTGGTATACCCGGAGCATGACCTTACCTCCACTCGGGCTCATGATTATGCAGTCAACCTGGACTCACTGCACCAGTACCTATGTGAGGAGATGACCCTTGCACAACAGCACTATCAAGGACTGGCCGATGCCAGATGCATGCCAGCACTGGACTTCAAGGTCAGTGACCAGGTGTATGTCAAAGCTAAGTACTTCCAGTCAACCTGGCCTTCCAAGAAACTCTCAGAGAAGAACCTTGGGCCATACCCACTCATAGCTCAGGCCAGTACCCACTCATTCACTCTGTGCCTGCTGGACTCAATGTGCACAGTACACCCAGTCTTCCATGTTTCCCAACTCAAACTGGCCTTCCCTAATACCATCCCAAACCAGACTCAACCACCACCCCCACCAGTCAAAGTCAATGGTGAACTAGAGTTTGAGGTAGCAGAAATCCTCAACTCCAAGGTAGACCAGCATTGCCAGTGCTGGCTTCAGTATCTAGTCCAGTGGACTGGCTATGAAGGGACTGACAAAGAAACTACATGGGTACTCGCCATGGAACTAGACAATGCCTCTGAACTCATGCAAGAGTTCCACTCCCACTACCCCAGCAAGCTTGGCCTGTACCAATAAGGACCAGTCTTGACTGGCTCAACTGTTCCTTTTTCTGTTTTTCCTATTTGGTATCTGGTTTTCCCCTGATCTTTTACTTACCTTGTTTTTCTTCCTCTTGTTTTCTCTTACTTCACTGTATAACACCAGACATGCCACATTCACAGAGAGGGTTAACAAAGGTGCTATGTTATGAACACTACTTGGCCATACCCTCATCTTCTCCTTTGGCCACCTCCTCCTCATCTTTACCATGTTGCTTCAACCAGTCAGCTTCCTCTTGCAACTCATCAGAGTTGAGCTCAGATGAGCCCGAGTCCAAGGGTGAGACTGCCATGCTGAAGCCATAGGACTCATCGAGTATTGACTCAAGGGCATCAGTGATTTGACCCAAGTTTTTGACTGCAGTCTCATGAAGTTCAAAGAGGCTGGCCAGGTTGTTGGCAATCAGCCCTGTGGCCTTGATCAGTTGTTCAAGCTTGTCTTCCAAGCCTGAGTACCTGTCTGTGCTGGCCTCCCTCAGCCTGCTCCCACCAGCCTCGAGCTCATTGATGTCCAGCACCTCAACTGGCTTCAATTTCACCTGCTTCTTCTTGCTGGGCCCAAGCTCAGGTGACTCTTCATCAGCTTTCCACTTCTTCCCCTTGTTGACCTTGGTAGTGGCCTTGGGACTGACCTCAGTATCTTTCCCATCCCCAGGCCAGCAGCACTTGCCCTTCGATAGATTGCATTGCACACAGGCAATGCATTTCTCGTTACTGTCTATGATGAATTTGCAGATGACTTTGGCCTGGGCACAACAGGTACATCTAAAAGTGTTGTCAGGAGAGATATGCACAAAGCTTGGGAAGGTACTCACCTGGGGTCCATAACCACTTTCTTGACCTCACTGGTCTCACTACCACCAGCCCCAGCCTCACTGCCCTTCCTGACCTCAGCCTTGCATTTTCACTCAGCCTCCCTTTCCACCTTGACATTGCATCTCTCTTCATCCTTGCATGCCCTTCTCTCCTCAGCCTCCCACTCTGCCTTCTCAGCTTTCTCCCTCTCCACTCTCTTGGCCTCAAGCTGAGCCTGCTCCTCCCACTGGGCTTGTTCAGTCACCTTTCATCTCTTCCTCTCCTTTGCCTTTGCCTTTGCCCTCATCACCTCCTCTTCATCATCAGTGTCATACCTGATGTCATCATCAGGAACTTGGGCCCAGTCAATGACAACTTGGCATTCATTGTTGTTGTCAGCAGCAGCAATCAGTCTTGAGTCAGACATGATGGAGAGGATGTGAATGAAAGATGCAAAAAGCTTAGCAGGCCACAAGTATCAGTTTTTCAAACTCAGCCAAAGTTTGGACTCAGCCTACCACTCTTGCAGGGGTCTCATGGGTTTGACCCCTAAGAGGTGGATACTGTCATAACCATGCCTTGACCCCAGCCAGACTTGGCCTTGTGTTCATCACTCCCTGGTACTGGCATTCCCAATCCTTGGCCACCCCCCCCCCAGAGGAACTGCAGGTTCTGGTTTCACATCAAATGGTATAGCTGCAATGCCATCTACTCATGCACACTGGAATCAGGGTTCCAAACCCCATTCCCATCAAGTCATGCAATGGCATGAACATATCCACCAGCTGTGGAATTATTACTTGCTGACCACAACTATAGTTGATTCACAGTTATCACACAGTATGCACTTGGCTCACCACCATACTTTGAATCCTCCACCTCACCCCCTGATGTATTTTACAAGCACCACATCCAATCATCTTAGCTGTACTTTTCCACCCCAAGGAATAATTATGCCCAGTCAGGATAGTCCCTATTTTACTCAAAATTGTGAAGTGCAGCAGTTGTACCTTCAGCACCCTATCCCCTCACAATTACCATACAACCAACCACCTTATTACTCTGCATGAACATATTTCCCCCTGCTTGCAGCTGTGCTTCATGATTTTGTGTGAACCATGTGCTAACAAATAACAACATACAAGTCCATTGAAAACACCACTTGCTCACCATTCTGCTTCTCCAGCCTCAGATCTGGAGTTGCTGCTTGTTTGAATGTTTGAAATGTTTCAACACTATCAGCTGTGAACAACAACTGGCTCTTCTTATGGTGGATCTTGTACTGCTGCTGGGCACCCTTTGTCTGCCAGCCAATGGACTGTTTCCAATTCATCTGTTGGAAGTTCTTAAGGTTCAACACCATTTCCTGGAGGAGTACTAACTTCAAACCTGTCTGGTCCTGGCAGGACTGGTTCAGACTACAGTAACCTGCCACCAGCCACTCAACCTTCCTTGAGATCTACTTGCTATTCCCTACAATGTGCTGCTTCAGATACATCATCCATTGGTGGGTCAGTCAGTGCCAGTGTGCATCAACCAAGGGACACAAACTCTGACAATGGGAATGATCTGACTTCCTTATCTCCATGGTGCATTAGATGGCTCAAAGTTCATGCTAAGAAACTAGCTGATGACCTTCAAATCCCTGACAAGAGCCTCCTCAAGTTCATTGAGGTGAGTTTTTCTTGCTCTGACAAATATTCTTGAACATCACCAACTTGCATAGACCAGAGATCTTTTCCTTATGTTTGTAGATATGAAAGCTTCCCTTGTCAAATATGAACTCAGCAACCAGACCCACCAGCTTCAAGCCCTACAGGACACCCTATCCTCAAAGGACTTTGAGGTAAGTCCATGATCATTGTGATGGACATCTAAATTATACACTGCTCTTCTAGCTCAGTCTGCACAACTGTCTCTTGGCTTGTACACTATCTCCCAACCTTACTGCCTATGTTATGGATACTCAATGCCACATAATGGTAGGTGGATTCTGAAACCTGGATGTAACTCTGTCATTGATTCCTGTGCAGGATTTCATTGTCAAACATTTGGATGTATTCAAGATTCCTGCTGGGGTATTTGATGATGTGGAGCTTTGGGGCTCCCTGGGTAGGATCATAACCAAATTGCTCACAACCATCTGCAGCCAGCTCAAGTCACAGGTGAGTTAACTTCATTCAGCCTGACTTTGTACAATGTCTGACCAGATAAACCAGCTGACAATTTCAATCACAAAGAAAACATGCATCATCAATGTCTCTAAGGTATTGGCATGCTCTAGTTCAGGGATGGCAGTGGACGCTGCCCACTGGAACAGAATGGCATTCCTGGTGAGTACCCCAAGTTCATCCCCAAGCCAAAGTATTTACAATGGGATGGTGGCAGCACTTAGTATCATTGCCTCCCTCTTTTCCTCATAGGAACCAGTGACCACAAAGTGGCAGCACTAGACATCTGCTTCACACCCCATCTCATTCCCAACCTCAAATCAGACATGTGCAAAAAACTCAAGCAGGAGCTTCACATCAATATCAGTGACATGGAGTGGACACTCTTCAAAGACAATGCAAATGAAGATGACACCTCCAAAGGCAACAATAACTGGGAGCCCCTTACCAAACCAAGCATTGATCTGGATCTCAGAGACCCTAGCCTGGGACTGGATAACCCAGTGGCCATCAATGCTGACACTGATGATACTCCTGACTTGGAGAATCCTGGTAGTGATGCCAATGAACTTGATGAGATGGATTCAGGCTTCAGGCTTGTAAGTGGAAAGGCAGCCCACTTCAACAGCAACAAATTCTGGAACTACATGGATTATATGCTCAACCTCCTGCACAAGAGTGTGTGCAAGGATGCTGCTTCCAAGGAGGATTTTGAGACAACCATTAGCAGGTAAATACTTTTTTTCGAGTGGGCAGCATTACTCACTATCTACTCAGTGTTTTTGTTCAAATCTTTCAGGATGACCTTGTGGACTGCCCTGGCAATAGGAGGGGGGCGAAGATTTTGGCTGTGAATCCTCAGTGGCAGACAACCACCCAGCAGGGCCTCATGTGGTAGATTTAGTCCCTTCGTTGCATGCTCATTACCATTTTGGATTATCCTACACAATGAATATACTGTTTTGATGCTATCACTATTTCTGTGGCTGCCTGCAAACCAGACCTCAGTGAGCCACACAGTATGCTTTGTAAATCATCTAGCCTATATAGTGAAAATCATACCCCAAGTATAGGTCACCTGGCTCGACTGAAGGAGCACCCACCTGTGAACCAGACATCAGTGAGCCATACACAGTATACTTTGTAAAACATCCAGCCTACATAGCAAAAATCATACCCCAAGTAACTTGAGAATGATAGCACATATTATGGGGTATCTATAAACTGGATGCACTACAGTAAGTATACAACATATTTCCTAGCCCTGATATACAACAGAGACCAGGTGACAATATACAGGCAACACTCAGCCAAAGCCTATGTGCTATATCTGATACTCGATACCCAATTGAGATGGCGGGAGCATCTATTCATTATTTAAACTAGGTCTGCGGGATACGCTGCGTCTTGGATACTTAGTACAAAATTTAATAATATATTGCTGATCGTTGACGGAAAAGATTTTCCACGCACAATTTGAACACCGATCGTATGGTTCCAAAAAAAACATAGATTATATGATTTCGGCAAACGGACGTGTAATTGGGATACAAAGTGATTAGTAATGACCTTGTTTTTGTCTTTGCCCTGATGTGTTTCGAGAGATTTACATATCGCAGAAGTGTAGGATAGCCTCGCCTGCCTGCCCGTTAGTGACCTTGAATGAAGTCAACGATGTTCTCGCTAGAGTTGAGATGGACTCGAGATGAAACTGATTGATGTGAAGATTTACATCCCGTAGCTCTGGAAGCTTCAAGTTCTCGAGTAGACCCGCACTAGATCAGGATGTTTGAAACAACTAGTAATTATTACAACTCTAGCAAGTAAGCATTGTATAGAAGGTACAGATACGGTATAATATCTATGATATAGAGTGACGAATCCAACAGTAGATTACGAGTGATTTACAACGTGATCGCGAAGAGATCATGATACACAATTCTTGCGGCGGAAAAAAGTTCAGGAAGTTCAGAAGCTTCAGGACGGGCCAACGTCACAAACATGACAATCACGAATAAGTGATAAGCGTAATGAAGTGAACTCGCTCAGTGCATAAGACACTGCGTGTCCTTCCTGGAGGGCTTGAAGAAGCCCATCATCGCCAGTATCGATGACTTCTTTCCTACCACCTTGTTCAGCGGCAGACTCAACATGCTCTGTGACGCATGGGGGATGTTTAGTACGTGCGTCGTCAACTTGCCACGCATCCCTCGCGCTTGTGCATCAGCGACGTTTGCCGCAGGGTTGGTGTGGCGGGGATAGGATGATCGAAGGGCGAAGATAAAAATTCCTTGCGCTCCCTGTCGGTTTCGCCTGGCGAGTTGGACCGCCTCTCGAGGAGCGGACTCGATGGCATCAGTTTAAGGGGAGTAGAACGTCTGAGCTTTCCTATCAGACTTAATCTTCCCGACACCAATGAACGCCGAAGAACCGAACTTGGGGCTGCAAGGGGACAGCGAGACACGAGGGAATGCGACGTCAAGAAAGTAGTCTGGTTTGCGAAGATTCTTGGCAGTCGGACGAGGCCGCGAGGGAAGTGCGAGAACGGACATGACCGGCCTTAGCAAATCCAGCGAGGACACTGCACTGCCGAATGTAGCAAGATCATCCACGTCGAGATGGTCGGTTGGTTGGGCGATGCAATGGGGGGTTGAACGTTGAGATCTGAGATCCGAGTCCTCCGTCAATACGTTCTTCACCGTCGACGCCACCTGGAGTGCAGAGGGTGAGCTCCCTCCACCGAAAGTGACCCACTGCAGCTCGCCTGTCTCCGAACCGCCTGCAAGGTGGGCGTACTCCCACTCCTCTTCAAGGTGTAGTAGGGAGGCCTGGGGGCGGGAGGGGAGGACACAGCCACGTCAGGCTTAGTCAGACGGGAGTAGACAAGGATATGTCGGACATGTTCGGTATCATCCTACAGTTTTTGCCTCAAGCTCAGCTCATTGCTCGTGAGGCTCTCTCCCCCACTGTTCCAACGGTCCCACCAGTATCTCCATCACCATCGCGGTAAACGTCGCTGACACCATACCCCCAGCGGCCTTGGCTTGAGCTTCCATGAGCCCCCTCACATTATCGTTCGGCTTCCGCCGTCGGCGAACTGCATGAGGGCAAGTTCTTTGGCAAGTGGAGGGGGCCGCATCGCAGCGTACTTGGCTTTCTTACGCTTCATAACGTCAGGATCAGAAAATATATCGTTAGATTCGTCGATGAGTCGTTGACTGCCTGAGCGTTCTCTCCAGAATTATCCCCGCGCGTGACTGGGAAATTATGCTGCGATCGCACTTCGCACTTGGGAACGAGGAGCCCTCCTTCGACGCCCACGCTTGAGAATGACCCAAATTTTGGCTTCCTGTGTCCCGCTCGTTCTGAGTCTCTGTCTCTCGACCGCTCTGATATCCCAGGTACGTGCTCAACAGATCGTCGTCCTCTCCAGCAACGATCCAGATATCATCTATAACCCGCCACTGTGTTTTTCTTCCGATGTCGTTTCTAGCTGTACCAGCCCGTGGTGGGTTTGTCCCATTTCTCAGCAGTCTTCCATTGTCAACGTGCGTCTCCACCTCAGGCAACCCCTCAACCACTCTTCGGTCTCTACGACAGTGATTTCAACCAATGGACTGATACCACAAGCCGGGAATGTGATACCCCAAATGTTTTTGACATTCTGAGGCAATTGAATCATTTTCTCCTTGCATCTCAAGCCGTCTGATCTACTCGTCCGTACAGCGTCGAGTCTGTGCCTTTATCCTTCCCCCGTATCCAATGCCACTGTAAACTTAACCCTCGCTGCTGAACCACGCGATACATCAATCACCAACATGGTAAACACGTCCATAAACATCATCACGGCTGTTGGCCTTCCGCTAACGCAAGCGACAACCTTGGGTATCACCTTTATTACTGGTGACTTACCCACGCGGTTTGATGTCGCATTCATCACATTGGTTGTTGCGGATGCTAGGCACGTCGTCCTCCGTGTCTTGTTGGTCGACACAACGTGTGACCACCTGTTTGTCCTATTCATCAGTGCAACAGCTTCATATTTGCCCTCGCCGCTACTACCATCATCTAGCTCCCCTCCTTTATTCACCTCTTCATCAACCCCCACAAGTGCTCAGACGTCGAGTGGGGTGAGCGAAGTCATCGTCCTTGGTGCAACACTGGGTTCTGTACTGGGCGGTTTCGTGATTTTGGTTATCGTGCTCTCTGTAGCACTCTATCGAAGACGTGAAGTGTCGAACAGCGTGGTAGCTGTGATCATTCATACCTATTCTACTTAATTTACAACAACGGGGTGTGTGCACTGTGGAGACCGACTGAGTGGTTGATTGTGTTAGTTAGCGCTCGGAAGATGCGTCTTCTTTCACGGAGATTCGGCGGCCTTGATGACGATTCACGACAACGACCAACTGCATTGACAACGCCTTGTGTAACTAGCCTTCTGTATTATCTATAGAAGAGTCTGATTCAGGGACTGCACGTCTACAGACAGTCAATTTCAGGACACGCTGTCAAAGGGACATCTGATTGCATGAAGTTGTTATTGTGCAGAGGACAGGCTACTATGTTTTGGAGGATGACAAGCTGCAGGATTGTCAAGTCTATGGAGAGGAATATACTCAGACTTCAAGTTGGTTGGAGCTGAGGTGCAGTAAGGAAAAAATAAACTGCTAAGTACAGTTATCCCATAAAATATACAAGCTGTGTCAGGGGTGCCCCAAAAAGGGTTAGTGGGGGGGGGGGGTCACATGCCCCCCAGCAGCATTCCATCCAGTTCCAAAGGGGGCAGCATTATGTAAGCAACCAAGTTTGGCATATGGGACACTGTTCACACAATTGTGAGGTCATGAACATGCATAGGGTGCAAGCACGAGAGGTGGGCAGCTATGCACACGCACAGTGCCTTCCCCCATCGCATCTGCACATTTTTCCTGGGGTCTGAACAGCGTGATCATGTAGTACTAGCATTCAGTATCTCTGGTATCATTTCTGTTGCCCCCCCTGCATATAGATTAGCATGTCCTGCTTCGGCCCCAGGCTGTGCATGAGGTATTTGCTCGTGTAGCTACATATGTGTCATAATGTATCCTCACAGATTTGGACAGAGCTCACCATGTGCACCAGTGCAAAGTGCAGGTGTAAGCCTGTATGTGCTGTGGGGCTGTGACTGTGGTGGACAATGTGGAGGGGTGGGATATGGCTTTGTAGCCAGGGACTGGGGGAGCTGACAGGTCCCTGACTCCCTCCTGGCAGCGTAGACCTTCGCTTATTGCAAAATATACAATGTTTATGCCAAACATTGTATATTTTACACCTCGGTACGGCACTTGCCACTTATTTCCAACTTATCCCTGCCATTCCGTGCACTTTACACACTTTGTAGTCTGCTCTTTCTGTAGTCGTTTGTAGCCCTTTGGCCTCTACAATGTAGCATGTCTGCCAACTAATAGACCTTCCAGATCTGGTAAGCTTACTAAGCCATCGGTGTTGGGCTCGTCACTGCCCATCCACCTGTGGCACTACATGCATGTCCACATTTGTGCTCAACATGTCATATTTCATCAGTGTAGGTGTGTGCCATTGATGTCCACACTCATGCTCAACCCGTTTCCTGCCAGCTCTTCCCCATTGCCCTGTGGCATGCACACTCCCTGACCGCACATATCCCCTCCCAACATTCTGGCTTGCTTTGGAGCACATACCCATCCCACTATCAAAGACAAAGATGTTTGCATTCATGTTTGCTCTGAATGGTGATTGGTGGGTGAATTTTCAGCCCCCATCCTTTGTTTTGTGCACTCACTGAGTCATTGAAGACACAGATGCTTTGTACTTGCTTTGCCCACTGATCAGTAGACAAATTTTAGGCCCCCACCCTCATTCTTTGTGCCTGCCCTGTCATTGAACATGAAGGCATTTGCATTTGCTCTGCCCACCAATCAGTAGGTGATTTTTGGCCCCTGACCTTTGTTTTGGGCACTCACCTGGTTGTTGAAGATGATGATGTCCACACTCACTTTGTCCACTGATCAGCAGATGGTTTTCAGGCCCCACCCTGTTGTCAAAGATGAGGTGTGTTTGTGTTCCCTCCACACACCAATCGGTAGGTGATTAGACATCCATGCTTGCTTTGCCCACTGATTGGTGAATGATTTTTGAGCCCCCACCCTGTCCTCAAAGATGAAGATGTTCACATATGTTCTTCCCACTGATCGTTGGGTGAATTTTTGCCCCTCCCCCCACTGAGGTCATTGAAGACAAAGGTGTTTGCATTTGCATTCATGTTCACTCCACCCATCAATTGGTAGGTGATTTTTGGCCCTCCACCTTTGATCTGCACACTCACTGTGTCCTCGAAGACACAGAGTTCACACTCGCCCCACCCACCAATTCATAGATGATTTCTGGGCCCCTGCCCTTGTTTTGCATGCACACCTCATCGTTGTCAGAGATGAGGATGGCTGGTCTTGCACACATGATTTACACCATGTGCCTGGACGTTGGCCTCACTGATGAATGTGTGCACAATGCCACTGCCTGCGCCTTTTCCATTGTTGTGCCTGCACTGGGTATCCCAGCATTGCTTCCCTTCCTCAAGCTGATTCACCATACTACATGAGAAGTCATGGTGGGCTTGTCACACAGGTGTCTGTATTGTTCAGCAGATTGCCATCCTGATTGGCTGTGCTGTCCTTCCAAAGTCATTGACTACATCCTATACAAACTCAACAACCTTGTCTGGCCCTATGTTCATAAAATTCTAGTCGTCATCAAGCTGCTCTTGTAGATGAAGACTGCTATGCTCACTTTGACGGCCATGAGATCATTTCCAAGCCTTGCACACACAATTTCCACCATGCATCCAGACATTGACCATGCCAATGAATGTGCATGCAGTACCACTGGCCATGTGTTTTCCATTGTCACACCTGCATGAGGCATCCCAACGTTGCTTCCCTTCCTCAAGGCAGTTTGTTGTATGACACAAGAAGTTGTGGCAGGCCCATCACACAGGTGTCTGTATTGTTCAGCAGACTGCCATCCTTCCAAAGTCATCAACCATGTCCTATACAAACTCAACAGCCTTGTCTGGCCCCACATTCATAAAATCCTAGTCATTATTGAGCCACTCCTTATAGATGAGGACTACTATGCTTGTGTTGGAGGCCATGAGATTATTTCCAACCTTGTGAAAAGTGGCTGGCCTCTCGCACACATGGTTTCCACCATCTGTCTGGACATTGACTGTGCTGATGAATATGTGTGCAATACCACAGCCTGTGCCTTTTCTGTTGTTGCACCTGCACTGGGCATCCCAATGTTGCTTCCCTTCCTCAAGGCCATTTGTCATAGCCAGAAGTTGCAGCAGGCTCATTGTGCAGGTGTCCATATTGTTCAGCAGATTGCTGTCATGATGGGCTGTGCCATCCTTCCTCACTTGTGCAGCCTTGTCAGCTGTGTTGCTCATGGTCTCACAGACGAATGGCAGAAAGTGCAGACAGTGACTGCACTTGCTACTGCTGCCCTAGCTGAAGTGGCTGCACCCTATGGAATCAAGTCTTCTGATGAGGTTCTATGGCCACTGTGGCTCAGTATTCACCAGCATCACAGAAAGGGACTTGCTGCCTTCTTGAAGGTGATTGGTTTCATCATTCCTCTCATGGACCCAGAATATGCTTCATACTACATGAAGGAGGTCATGGTCATCTTGATCCACAAATTCCAGATGTCAGATGAAGAGATGAAGAAGATTGTCTTGAAGGTCATTAAGCAATGTGCTGCTGCCAATGGTGTAACTGCTCAATACATTAAGCAGGATGTTCTTCCAGACTTCTTCAAGTCATTCTGGATCTATCGCATGGCGCTGGACAGGTGAAACTATCGTCAAATGGATGCAAAGAGCTGGGGTCTCTGAGATCGCAGGGAGGATCATGAACAAGTTGAAAGACAAAGCAGAGCCATACCATAAAATGGTCATGGAGACTATCACAAAAGTTGTCACCACTCTTGGTGACTCTGATATTGACAAATGTTTGGAGGTCTGTCTGGTTGATGGCATCACATGCTCCTTCCAGGAGCAGACTACAGAAGGCCAAGTCATGCTGGATGGGTTTGGCACTGTTGTTGACGCTCTAGGTATCTGTGTCAAACTGTACCTTACACAGATCATCTCTACTATCCTCTGGCAGCATTGAACAACAAAAGCACCAAAGTTTGTCAACAGACTGCTGATCTCACCACATGACCCACTATCATTGTCATCAAGCAATGTGACGAGGACCAGCTTTTGAGCAAGCTTGGACTTGTCTTGTTCAAACAACTTGGAGAGGAGTACCCTGGCATGCTCAGTAGTATCATTGCCGCTGAGGGTGCTATCACAAATGTGGTCGGTATGACACAAATGAACCTCCCCTCCCCCCCCCCCCTGGTGAAAGATCTTTGCAAGTATTTATTACCTCTTGATTACTCAACATCTGACCTGACATATAGTTCCTTGAATGACCCCCATTCTTCATAGCCATCATGAGAAGGCCCAAGAGGCATCTATGAACTTGATTGGTCATATCATGGATTGTAGTGCTGAGTTCATTCCAGCCCAAGAATGGATGGGTATCTGCTTCGAGTCATTGGATCTCTTGAAAGCCCACAAGAAAGCTGTTTGTCACACTGCTGTGGACTCGTTCAGATACATCACAAAGAGCTTGGGTCCTCAAGATGTGCTGCTCTTGCTTCCAGTTCTCCTGTTGTGCAGTACAGTTGCAATTGCCATCTGGGCATGAGCCCTCAACAAATACAGGACAGCCGAGTCAAACATCCATGCTGGACATCTCAACACACTGATCGCCCCTTGTAGGTGCATGGAAGTGGAAATGGCAATGCCTTGTCGGTGCCAAATGACCCATGCATATACATATTTAATATCTCTGTGTGAGCCCCTTCTGCTTCACCCCAAGCTCAAGGGCCTCTGCCCCATGATCAACTGAATTATGAATTACAAGATGGAGACACCATAGTGGCAGCACTGGTTGTACATATGTTCACTATCCATTTCATCCATGTAATGTGTGTAGTGTGCTATGCATCCCCATAGTTGTGTGGGCCTGTGGTGTGGCCACAACTAGTTACCTGACTTGAACCCTTCAGGCATGACCTCTGCTCCAGCCTTCAGCACTCAGTGCCCAGCTGCGATGCAGCTCCTTCTAAACCCCTGGCTTATCCCAGAAAATATATCTGACCTGATGGGTCGAAATCAAGAGTCGAAGAAGGCTCTGGTGGTGTTGCAGTCACCACAGAAGAAGTCGAGTTGGAAGAGGCAGACCCCTGCAGTCAACACTGGCACTGCTGCAGCCATGTCTCTGAAGGACATCAACCAGCTGAAAGAGCAGGGGAAGCAGATGCACCTCAAGGCAGCAAGAATGAGAACTGCCTATGCTGCACATGTCTGCTGAGGTTGAGAGTGGCTCAGCAGCTTTGCTGCCTCTGGAATGGAGAGCCAGCCTGAGGATGCTGGCCCAGCCCTGACTCCCATGGTGCCCGACGACCCATACAGCAACCCAGAGTTCAAAACAGCCTTTGAGAGCACACCAAACAGCTGCTCTGACAAGGCATTGGCCTTGTACATGATGTGGAAGGGATTCCATGAGAATTTAGGCAAGAGCACTGTGGAGAGCATCAGGGCAGCATTCAAAGATGTTTGGGCAAATGTGTAAGCAGACCTTTGTCCCGGTGTTCAGACAGCCAGCGGGTGTGCAGACCACTGACTGGGCATTGGTGGATACCATGTCATTGCCACCTAACAGGTGTTATGCTTCCATTCCCGTTTTCCTCTTTTTCGACTTCTCGCAGTCACGTGCGTCACGTGCCTCGTCGCGTCCCTAGTGGTCGTCGCGGTACTAGGAGTACGGATGTTACGCGGAGACCTCGGATCACCCGCTGTCCAGGTATTTCCAACACCTGTCGAGACTCGTCAATTGTGATCCGTCCATGACGCTCGCCGCTCTCGTGTTCCGTCCGGACACTCATCGCCTTTGTGATCCCCATGGTTGTAGAGATGTCCTGCTCCCTGTTTCCTGACTCACTTTGACTCGCTTATGTTGTTCTTATGTTGTACTATAGATCCGGTGTCTGGCTCCTCGCTGCGCATTGATGGCGCAGCCGGTATAGCCCTCGCTTCCTTGCCTACCCCCATCTTTGACACCGTATGACTCATATTCATTTTAGTGATTAGTTTGTTGATTACTGCGGATACGCGTCACGACGTGTCCGTCGCGACTGGTAGGGTACTCGTACTTAGGGGTATTTAAGCCCACATACTTTACCTTGTATCCTCAGTTTTTCGATAGCCTGCAACAGAGCTAATTACTTCGCTTTAATCCTTGTTCTCTCTCCGCGTGAACAACCTTAGGGACTTGCCAGTAGAAGGAACCTCTGTCGGGTTCTCGCGATAACTCTGCCATAGGGGTTACGACAAGTTCGGCCCGTGGACTCCCACCTCGCGCGCTTCGTGCCTATTCCATTTGAAGAAGTCACCGCGCCCAGGCATAACAAAATCGAAAAACTCTGCGCAGCTTTCGGGACTCGTCGACCTCTTCGTGCAAAGTCTACTCGTCCCTGGTTACTGAACTTCAACAAACCAACCACTTCCAAACAAGGCTCGTCGGTCTCCCTACGCGTAAAGACTAACTTGCCTTTGTAACTACTGCGGAGCCTCTTAACTCGACCAACAAAAGTCGATAACAAAATTGAGAAGCACCCCGCCACCCTTAATCAGATACATCGCTCTACAGGCAGCCACTAGGCTTTAATAGATCGCCTCCCTAGAGTTCACCTCACATCGCGCTCGTGACTCCCTACGTGTAAAGCCACTCGCGCGCCCACAAACCCCTTTTCAAACGCTGACAGGTTTCTTTCGAGAAATAAATCCTCCCTCAGCCTTCGTTGTCACTATCCGTCAAAGTGTCAAACCCACAGAAGTCGAGACCACCGATCCCTCCGCGCATACTGCAAGGACTCGGTAGGAACCCGCCTTTACCGCCAATTCCGCTAGGAAGACTTGGGCCGTCAGCCACAGCAAGTAATCCTAGGTTATCTTATCTATCCCGGTTTAGGGAAGAAGAAGTCGCGCTTAGTTCAGAAGAAGAAGACGATCAGAAGTCAGAAACTTCTTTCGGATCAGTCCTTAAAGAAGAACAAGAAGCTCGCAAGTCACCCGTGATGTCATCCTCTATGACCATTGGACACGGAGATTCGGTTCCGGAGATGCCGCCAAAGGTATACACAGAGGAGGAACTGAAGGAACGGTTGGATGAACGGATGCACTCTTTGGCCGCAGACTGGCGCAAGATAGCCGGTGTGGGACAGTCGAGTGATCCCTTCCCAACAGGAACGCCTACGGACTCGGCTCTACGAGCTTGGTATGCCCATAACTTCGGAAAAATGGTTCCCCCAGAGGTCCCCATTGGTGGGTCCAGTAAGGGAAAGAATTCCGAAGGAGACGAGGATCACTTGTATGATGTCCGCCCACCCAACGGAGGTAGGGAGTTTAATGTTGGGCGTCCCGGTGAATACGACGGAAGCCACAATGGGCTTCAGACCTGGGTCACGCAAGTCGAAGGTTACCTGAACCTTAACAAGCACGTGTACAACACCAAATCCCTGAAGATCTCGTTCGCCCTGACTTATATGACAAAAGGGGCAGCGGTCACCTTCGCCGAAAACTACCAAAACGAGAACAAGCTTCTCGACGGAACAATCTGGTATACCGATACTTTCCAGAGGTTCGCTGAGCGTCTCAAAGCTACGTTCGAGTCTGGCGACCAAACCGCTCTTGCCATTTTGCATCTGTCCGACATCGTGCAAGGCAAACGAGAACTCGAGGCGTATATTGCGGAGTTTACCGGACTTGTCAATAAAGCCCAGCTTAAAGAAGAATCACGTGAAGCAGGGATCTTCTTCGGGAAAGGTCTAAATAAAGAATATCGCGATTGGGTCTTGAATTCTGGACGCGCCCCATCCACCGTCATCGAATGGATACAGTGCGCGGGAGAAGCAAGAACCGCAATTGCCACGAGACATATCCTAGAAGGAAAGGAATCCCGGTATGAAAGAAAGTTCATTCATTACCGAGGGGGTTCCCGTGATCCGGATGCGATGGACGTCGACAAAACGAGGCGAAACGTATGCCGATCGGTTAATGACGTCACTTGCTTCGAATGTGGCAAAAAGGGCCACTACAAGCGTGACTGTACCTCCCAGAAAGCCAAAGCTTCACCCGGCATACGGATCGTTCTTACCAACGATGGGAAAAGGATCGCCTATGCGGGAGATCGTCTTGCAACGGCAGACGAGATCGAGAAGCACGGGTTGAAAAAGGAGGGTTTTTGAATGGGACCGCTGATACTCCTAAAGCAGGTCCCGCGTCGATACTGTCTGCGATTTGTACCACTACCATAGACGATGAATCTAGTATGAGAGTTGGATCGCCTTTGGGGAGGGTCTGGTTGCTGGACTTTAACTCAGGAGTCATGGTCTGCATCGACTCGGGTGCAGAGGTTTCGCTCATCTCGGAGCGAATCGTTCAAAAGATTGGGATCCCAACGTACCGCGTCAAGGGTCGGTTCAAGACAACATCTTTTACCGGAAAGGACGTACAGTGGATTACGAGGAAAGTCTCAATCAAGATAATCATCAAGAATCGAGTCGTTCGGGTCAAGTGTTATGTCGGGCCGTTGGTCGGAAAAGAGCATATCCTCCTTGGAATGCCGTTCCTTCGGAAATACAAGCCGCGACTAAATTGGCAGACGAACAAGATCGATTGCTGGGATGATGGGTATGTACCCACAAAGGAAACTGACCTCGCTATTTGGAAAACAGTCCCCTGGGATTATCCAGGATACGCGGTCAAGATCAACGAAAACGGTTCCGTCGAGGAACCGGAATTAAAAATTAATAAAACTACTTTGTCAACAGAGTTGGAGGCTGCATTAGCGCCTGCCAAGGAGGAGGTCAAACTACCGACCGAATATCAAGAATTCGCCAAAGTGTTTTCCGAGGAAGACATACCGCTTCCAGTCCATAGGCCAGGATTGGACCATGAAATCCGACTCAAGGACGACTTCAAGCCAAAGAAAGCGGCAGTCTACCCTATGTCACCCGATGAACTCAAGGTACTAGATGAGTTCCTCGAGGAAAACCTTAAATGTCACAAGATTCGCCCTTCAACATCGCCGCAAGCCGCTCCGGTGTTCTTCGTAGCGAAGAAGGATGGTAAAAAGAGACTAATTCAAGATTACAGATATCTCAACTCTTTCACCATCCAAGACGCGCACCCGCTCCCGAATGCCCAGGCGCTGTTTGACGAGTTGGTCGAATCAAGGTACTATGCGAAGTTCGATATTCGATGGGGGTTTACCAACCTGAGAGTACGAGAAGGAGATGAATGGAAAGGAGCCTTCATAACCCCGCGAGGGCTCTTTGAACCAACGGTGATGTTTTTCGGTCAATGTAACTCACCGCCTTCGTTCCAGAGGTATATGGATCAGACTTTCGACAGCCAAAGAGGCAAGCAAGTCGGCTACATGGACGATGTAGCAATTCACGCAAAGACAAAAGAAGAACTTCGTTCCCGCGTCCGGGAATTCTTAACAATTTGTCAGAAGGAAGGCCTTCGCCTCAAGATTAGCAAATGTGTCTTCGAGGCCGAAGAAATTGAGTTTTTGGGAATGATCATTGGAAAAGGCCGTATGGAGACCTCACCCACCAAGACCGACGCAATCGGGTCTTGGACCGCCCCTGAGAACCTAACAGGGCTCCGTCGTTTCCTCGGCTTTTGCAACTTCTACCGGAAATTCATCCCATCCTTTTCAAGCGTCGCTCGTCCCTTACATGACTTGACGAAGAAAGGGGTTTCGTACAAATGGAGCACCGAGTGTGACGGAGCCTTTGAAAAGTTAAAAAGTTTGTTATGCTCGTCCCCGGTCCTCTCAATCCCCGACTTCTCGAAGCCATTCGCCCTCTTCACCGATGCTTCGAAATTAGGGACTGGTGCCGTCCTCGCTCAGAAAGGAGCCGACGACGAATGGCACCTGTGTTCCTACCTGTCACAGTCGCTTGTCGGTGCCGAACAGCGGTACCAGGTTTACGACCTGGAAATGCTGGCGGTTATTAGAGCGCTGAAGGCTTTCCGACCCTACCTATTGTCTCCGGTTGAGCCCACCGTGGTCTTCACCGACCACAAGAACCTGGAGTACTACCGGGAGCCCCAGCAATTAACCCCGCAGCAGGCCCGATGGGCTGCTACAGTCCAATCCTACCCTATCCGTTTCTCTTGGCAAGCTGGACGTTTGCAAGTCCCTGCCGACACTCTGTCACGAAAGAACGAGTCCGCGGAGCCGGCCCCTGTGGCCACGGTTCTCCCCCCGAACCTTTGGCTTAACGAGGGGGTGGACACACCAATTCGACTCGTTTCTCCTTCCTTTTCACTCACAAAGTTACAAAAACAGATCAAAGTTAATCGATATGTACGTGTGGGACGTCTTCCCGCAAAAACAAGACGGTCCGGTAAACAAGAAAAACCCTACTCTCGCCCTTCTGAGGACGCGTCAAAGGAGAAAAGGGTTCCCCACGGTCGCCCATCTGAGGACAAAGTAAAAGGACCAAAAGGGGTTTATGCGGTTTCAACGGACCTGTATAACCAAATAAAAGAAAACGCCCAAAAAAGAAAAGAGGGTCCCGAAGTTCGTGACAACGTAACCGTCGCCGAGGACGGAACAAAGCGTTACAGAACCACTTGGCTGTATATCCCTCCCGAAAACCGACAACATTGCATGCGCTCCTATCACGATTTGGAGTCGGCCGGCCATCCTGGTCAAAAAGCGATGTTTGCGAAAATGAGAAAAGAGGTATGGTGGGAGAAGATGGGAAAAGACATCAAAGAATACGTGGCCGGTTGTCCGGCTTGTCAAGGAAGCAAGGTCTCAACTCATCCCCCTCGTCCCCCCGTTACCCCCCATGAGACTGCGAAAACGGTTCTGCCGTTCCAACAGATCTCTATGGATTTCATTACGGACCTCCCCGTGTCGGGAGATGAAAAATTCGACTCGATTCTCACGGTTGTCGATCAGGGGCTGTCAAAAGCCGCCCTGTTCGTTCCGTGTCATAAAACTATAGACTCCGTAGGACTTGCGAAGCTGTTTCACAGGTTCATCTACGCCCGATTTGGATTACCGGAATCGGTGATCTCCGATCGAGGGCCGCAGTTCGCATCGTCCTTTACGAGAGAATTGTACAAAGCGATAGGGGTCAAAACCAAGCTTTCAACGGGATATCATCCACAGACAAACGGAGAAAGCGAACGGGTCAACCAAGAGGTGGAAGGGTACCTTCGTCTGTATTGCTCCGAGTTCCCTAACTCGTGGAGCAGCAAACTCCCCTCCGCAGAGTTCGCCCATAACTCCCGAATCCATTCTGTTCATCAAATGACCCCGTTTTCCCTTCTGCTTGGATACGACCCCTCCCCCTATCCTGAAACACGGATCACCCCGGTGCCGTCCGTAGAGGAAAGATTAGAACGCTTGGCAGCAAGCCGAGATGTCGCCATTTTGGCACACAAACACGCGCAAGAGCTGATGAAGTCCCGATCCAAAGGAACGTACAGCCCTCCGAGAGTCGGAGATCTCGTCCTCTTGGATACCAGCAAACTATGCATCAAAAACCAGTGTGACAAGATTGCGCCCCGACGTCTCGGGCCCTTCAAAGTGACTCACCAAGTGTCACCTGTCGCGTTCCGATTGGACCTGCCACTGACCTGGAAGGTTCATCCGGTGTTTCATGGTTCACGCATCTTCCCGTTTATTGAAAACGAGACATATGGAGCTGCGCCCGCAGCACCATTACCGGAGTTGGTGGATGATGAAATCGAATGGGAGGTGGAATCTATCCTAAATCACAAAACCGAAGGTCGCCGAGGGAAGAAAAAGTTTTTGGTCAAATGGAAGGGGTTCCCGCATTCGTCGAACACATGGGAGCCCGAGGAACATTTAAAGGAGCACGCTGAAGACGTGCTGGACCAGTACAAACTTGCTCGACACCTTCGAAATTAATGGATTCCCCCCGCTCTGTAAACACTGAAAACGACTATGCCGACCTCCCCGTCCCCGACGAATCCTTTCGCCTCTCCGACGACGACTGTCTCATTCCCCCAGTCTCCTCATATGCCCCAACCTCACCTCCAACGTCCCCCACCGGCTTTTATGTGTCCGGGTACTCCTCGCCCATGTCCCAGTCCGGTTCGGTACAGGCCCCTTTCCCCCGAGCTCGCTCCGTGCGCCCACTCCCTGGGCATTACGGTCAGACGCGTCCCAGCCCCGAAGGCCAGAGTCCTCCCTCGGGAGGACAGTAACCGAAAGGGAAAGGAGAAGGTGCGAGCTGACCATGACTCCGATAGTTCAGCCTCCAGGCCCGTCCGCCCCAATGCTCCCGAACCTTCCGACGTATGCCCCGCTTTCGCCACCTACGCTAACCGAGGCGATCGCGCGGCCCTCGAAATGCTCGCCACCACCGCCCTTGCCGGGAATGACAAGCAACGACTACCAGTCCCAGCAAGTGAATACGTGGACATTGTTCGGGCACTTGACGTCTTCCACGACGGGGACCACATTGACGGGTGCACATCAGAACAGGTTGAGTATTTTCGGATGCTGTCTGAAATCTACAGAGCGTCAGACGTGATTAACTGGACTCGTGTCAAAAATCCGAACCCTGGAAGCTTACCGGAGTAGCGCCCCTATCCGAGGTAATCATGATCGGCATGTTGGAAGAAGCCTCCACCGAAATTACCGAAGCAATTACCGGCGGAGCTTATCATCATCTTCGCCAACAGCAGATTAATGAATTCCTCACGCCACCCGCTTCCAGGGTTCTTGATCGGATCGTTCCGAAAGAGTCCATCGCCCCTGCGCCTGCCCTTAAACCAGACATCACTGATCGGGAGAAAGAGAAAGAGTGGAGAGCGGTAGAGTTAGGTTTGTTGACTCCAGCGAGCTGTTCAAAGAAGTAGGTGCCCGCTTGGGAACTGGAACTCACAACTCCGCCTGGGAGGTCTTATTGCAGGATGCGTCTTGGGCCGGATTGCACAAAAACTACTTCAATGCCGTGCACTCCTCCGACCCTCTCCCTGCGACTCCCTTCGTCCCCGTCCCTGGGGATCAACTTCGGTTCTACCTGGGAGGACAGTCCCCTGTACCCGCCGGGCATCCCTTATACGAACATGCGTGCTACCAGTGTCGTTACTTGGGACATTGGTCATGCCGCAATGGACGTGGCTCCCGCTTTACTCCGGCCCTCGAAGAGCCGCCGTCTCCATCGCCACCGTCGCCCGTCGCCCATCGCACGCGTTCCCGCGTTTACACTACTCGCCGACCCCTGTCCACCCGCCCTGCAAATACCGCCGGCCCGTCCTCAAGGGTCTGAGGACCTTAGAGGGGGGGTGATGTTATGCTTCCATTCCCGTTTTCCTCTTTTTCGACTTCTCGCAGTCATGTGCGTCACGTGCCTCGTCACGTCCCTAGTGGTCGTCGCGGTACTAGGAGTACGGATGTTACGCAGAGACCTCGGATCACCTGCTGTCCAGGTATTTCCAACACCTGTCGAGACTCGTCAATTGTGATCCGTCCGTGACGCTCGCCGCTCTCGTGTTCCGTCCGGACACTCATCGCCTTTGTGATCCCCGTGGTTGTAGAGATGTCCTGCTCCCCGTTTCCTGACTCACTTTGACTCGCTTATGTTGTTCTTATGTTGTACTATAGATCCGGTGTCTGGCTCCTCACTGTGCATTGATGGCGCAGCCGGTATAGCCCTCGCTTCCTTGCCTACCCCCATCTTTGACACCAGTATGACTCATATTCATTTTAGTGATTAGTTTGTTGATTACTGCGGATACGCGTCGCGACAGTGTCCGTCGCGACTGGTAGGGTACTCGTACTTAGGGGTATTTAAGCCCACGTACTTTACCTTGTATCCTCAGTTTTTCGATAGCCTGCAACAGAGCTAATTACTTCGCTTTAATCCTTGTTCTCTCTCCGCGCGAACAACCTTAGGGACTCGCCAGTAGAAGGAACCTCTGTCGGGTTCTCAGCGATAACTCTGCCATAGGGGTTACGACAAGTTCGGCCCTGTGGACTCCCACCTTGCGCGCTTCGTGCCTATTCCATTTGAAGAAGTCACCGCACCCGGGCATAACAACAGGGATGGAAATACCTTTCGAGGCAAGTGGGGGTTCAATGAGGCGAGGCAGTGCTGGGAGGGGAACCCAGCAGAATCAGCTGATGTTCAAGATGTCCTGACTTTGATCAAGCACAAGGCGAGTGTGGAAGCAGGCAATCGCAAGCACTCACTGCCCATCACATGGGATCACTTGGATCGGATGTTGCAGTGGGCATGCACAGTGTGCCCTGACCTTGATTTTGCCTTGAGTGTCCTTCAAATGACTTTCAGCACACCTGGCAGTGGGCCTGCACAACAGCCACTGTTGGAACTTCTTGGTCTCAAGGTGCAGACACTGGTGACACACCACCTCGAGCAACTCGCATTTGCATCCACAGCATGGACACTATGGACAAGGTCAGTGAGGTGACTCCATTGTGGAGTGTATTGTGTGACCCCCATCTGAGAGATACACATGGTCACACAGGTGCTACGAGCTGATCCAACTCAAGTGGAGGCACATCACAATCAACTGCATGATGGTGGACCACACACTGGATAAGTACCTTGGAAATGAGCCACTGATGCTGTCTGACAGGTCTGTCTACTTTGAGGTCTACCTAGCAAACCAAAAGGGGTGGCAGCACAAGGTTAACAAGGGGATGACTGAGGCTGATCTGCACAGTGAGTCCACCATTAGCCTGATTGCCTTGTTGGTAATGCACACAATGAGGCTGTGAGTGAGCTGACATTGAACCAAGCATGCATTTCCCTGCAGGCAACCAGTATAAAATCTTCCCCCAGCCTGAGCTCCCAGGAGCCGACTGCTTCCTGTGACTGCCACTCTGGGTACACTGGCTTGAATGTGTCCACTACCAACAACCACTTGACCCTGATGACAATGTCTTCCCTGTGATGGGGGCTAATGGTGTTGTACAGCCCCACAAGCCAATCTCGCACAATGCTGTGCAACAGTGGATCAATGAAGCAACAACTGGCATGGGAATTCAAGGCTCCTTCTTGACCCATTGCTTTCGATGGGGTGGAGCACAGTACAGGTTTATGCTGGCCCCTGTTGGCAAGTGCTGGTCCCTCAAAAAGGTCCACTGGTGGGGGGGCTGGGCTGAGGGGGAGCATGTAAGTGCCAAGTTCGAGTGTCCCATTGTTCATAGCATTGACCTGGATGCTTCACACCTGGTACTGTACTACTGACCTGCTCTGACATGGCCTCCAGCATAACACCCTCATCTGATACCTCCTAGATGAGCTTTACCATTATGAGACAGACTACAGTGATGTGCTTGCTCCAATTGTACAGGATGTGCGGGATTCTCTGGTAGGTGAATCTGCCCTCATGCAACCTGTCACTGCAGAGGAGGTTTCGCACAGCCCACATGTCCATCACCTCCAATGTTTGTGGCCTGTGGACCAGGATGGGGCAGGTCAGTGAGTCCATTCATGAGCTTGCCACCATCATTCACCAAGGTATGGCTGGTGCTCTGTGGCAGCCTTGTGCTGGATCTACAACTCATGGTAGCTATGCTAGTGTACCCCATTCCATCACACCACCCTCACAGTCACAGCTGCTGCATGGGCATCCCAGCTCAATCGCACCCACACCTGTCCCCCAGCTGGCACAGGCCTCTGCCCCAGTCCTGCCAGTGGGCCCAATGGCCTGAGTCCCTGCAAATTGCATTGTCACTGCTGGTGCTGGCCTGAGCCAGACAGCAAGCTGCCATGACTACCCTGTCGTCCCCCTTGCCAAGCAGCCACTGCTCTCTGGGCTCAGGATTCCAAACATACCCATTGAGCTGCTGGATGGCTCATGATGTCCCAGAAGGGACTCCTGGTGGGACATCATCACCCATTGGCTTGTTGGCAATCCCCCATGTGGCCTGAGTGTCCCATTGAAGGACTGGCCTGCAGACTGGTACCAGGGCTGCAACTGCACCTTTGCCTCCAGGTACAGCCAGCAGGCCACAATTGCACTGGAGTTTATTGACATGTGAGTGCCCCTGTCCAGCCCTCTCCTTGAGTAGCCTGCCTGCTCACCCAAATGCTTCCCATGCACTCAATGCAAACATTCGATGTCCACTGCCATATGACAGCTTCAAGTGTGACAAGGCTCGCTTTCTTGCAGCCTACCCCGAGGCAGAAGAAGGGCACATGCACCTCCTCCATGCCATCAACAAGGCACGATGTGAGTGCCAGCAGCTGGAGTCGCAGGCCTGAAGCACTGCTGGGCCACCTGCAGCGTCTGCCACTCCCACTTGCCATTCCATTCCATCAATATTCAACCCTGACCCATCATGTTCGAGTTTCAGAACTGCAATGTAGCCTACCCCCATGTCCACAGCTCTCTCGCAGTTGTGCTCCCAACCTTTGCTGCTTCCAGCTGTTGGCCCCTACTTGCTCTCCCACCATCGTTTCCTTTGTTTGTCTTGTTTCTCCTTCTTGTTCTTGTTCTTGTTCTTGTTCTCTGTTCATTTCTATTCTTCTTCTTTCCTGTTCTTTGCTTTGCTGCCCTTGCTTTCTCGCCTGTCCTTTCATGCCTCTTTTCTCATCTAACTTGTCTCGCAATCAGTGTGCCCATTAGCACGCTCATGCTCACACTTCCTGTCACATCCCATCCCTCATTTATGCACTTACTAGCTGCTACCACTACCCTTTACATTCATGGCCCATGTGTGTGCCCATTAATTGACACAGTTGCATGTCCCACACTGCCACTCCATCCCTTTCCCATTTTGGGCCAAGGAGGTGGGGGGTCAGGGTTAAGGTTAAGGTCACATGTCCCTGCCTTGTTGAGGAGCCATCAGCACACATCGGGTTAGGGTTAAGGTCATGTGACCCAGTGTGACCCCACCTGCTGCATGGGGCCTGCACTGCCACTGCACTGCTTGTATATTTTCTGGGATAAGTGTCCGCTTTTGGATTACATAATGCTGTACTCAGTGAACCACAACTAAGGTAAAAGTGATAAACTCCAACACTGCGAAGAGCTAGACAAGAGCACTTGCCTTTTACAGGTTAACAGTAGATTTGAGAGTAAGCTTGTTGGGGCTCAGGTGTTCATATGAACAGTAGATTGTCTTATAGGTAAGACAATGGGGACTCCAGGAGAGATACCCTGAGTTTATATACATGTAGCTTTATGCATGGACCAGTAATGTATAAGGAAGGAGCTACATTGTAAGTACCATATAAGGTAAAGAATAGCAAGGAATGCTATGGAATATGATGCAATATATGATGTCATAATGATGTATGTGTGGAGCTGCTCACCAAGCATAGTCATGTGATGTACAATGTGTTGATACATGTGTAAGTCTAGAGTTGGAACTGTTATGATATTTCCAACACTCCCCCTCTAGAATGGGAGATTAACAAGTCCCATTGACAAGCAATTAGTTTCAAACTTTTGCCACATCAAAGACTTTGTAAGACCATCTGCTTTCTGTTTGTCAGTTTGAATGTATTCAATACTGAACAAACCATCTTGTACACATTTGTGAATGAAGTGCCATTGGATGTTGATATGTTTGGAATGACTGTCTGATACAGGATTCTCAGCAATAAAGCAAGCTCCCATATTATCACAGTAAAGTATGGTCTTTTTGGTCTTGAGTTTAAGTTCATCAAATAGCATATGTAGCCATTTGATTTGACATACAGCATCACAGAGAGCCATATACTTGGCTTCTGTAGAGGAGAGTGCGATTGTCTTCTGTTTACATGATTGCCAAGAAATGAGGGATGTTCTGAGGAACATTGTGTAACTGGTAGTAGAATGATGTGTGTCTTTATTTGCAGCCCAATTGGAATCTGCAAAACCAAAGATCTGAAATTCGAGTCCAGAATAGTACACGGCCAATTTTGGAGTAGATGCAATATAGTGCACTATATGCAAGGCCTTATTGCGATGATCCTCAGTGGGATTCGCCATATATTGAGACATGTGAATGACAGCAAATGCAATATCTGGACAAGTACCAAGGGCCATATAGAGAAGAGAGCCAATGATTGATTGGTACTGGGATCTAATGGCAGATGTTGCTTGATAATCCGATGGTGCCTTTTCTGGTTGATATCCTGATGGTAATGGAGTGCGAACATTTTGAGCAGTCTCCATGTTAAACCATTTGATGACCTTTTTGACATATGGAATCTGATCAAGATAGAGTTCCTTCTTTGATTGATTATGGTGAATTTGAATGCCAAGGTATTCTTTGACTTCACCAAGGTCTCAGGATTCCCATTTCTTCATAAATTCTTCTTTCTTGGCTTTAAGAAGATGTTTGTCCGATCCTAGAAATGATCCATCATTGACATAGATGAGGAAAATCACAATGCCAGCTTTTGATGAATAGATGTATATGCCAGCATCCACTTTTGAGCATATGTAGCTCATGTGAAGAAGGGAAGCATGAAGGGCTTTATTCCATGCAAGTGCTGCTTGCTTGAGACCATAAAGGGCTTGAAGCAGCCAATAAACCTTGTGCTCTTGACCTGAAACTTTGAAACCTTCTGGTTGCTCCATATAGATTTCTTCATCAAGGTTGCCATATAGAAAGGCAGTTTTAACATCCAGGGCTTCCATTTCCCAATTCTTTTGAGCAGTGAAAGCTAGTAAGATTTGCACTGTCTCAAAGTGAGCCACTGGAGAGAAGGTGTCTTCAAAGTCAGTTCCAAATTCTTGTGTAAAGCCTTTTGCCACAAGATGAGCTTTGTAATGACCATCACTTTTGATAGTGAATACCCATCAACACTTTATGGGTTTCCAATCTCTTGGGGGATCCACCAAAGTCCATACTTTTCTTTCCTCAATAGACTTTAATTCATCTTTCATAGTGTCAAACCACTTCTTTTGTAGATTGGGAGTTAACTTTAGCACATCTTTAAAGTGTTCTGGAGATTCTTTAACCCAGGTAGCGAGAGCAAATTCAAAAGGATGCATCTCTGCTTCTTGACCAGGCATTCCTTTTGGAGAATCAGGTGTATCCGGAATAGGAGCGAGTGGTGATCCAGGTGAAACAGGAGTAGTTCCTTGTGGATGCTCTGTCCACTGATGAGGAACTTGAGGAGGTACCATAGCAGGTGGTAAACAAGGTGAAGGAGGTCTCCTTTCCTCTTGATATCTCTGAATATCATCTCTGGATTGTTGTGCATGCCTCTCAGCATTATGAATCCACTCTTGTGCTTGATCCCAATTTTGTTGAATATCTTGTTCTATCTGGACAGGAGATCTGTCTCCATAGATATTTCCAGGATGAGTAACAGGTATAAAATGACACTTTGGACAAGGTTCTCTGTCTTCAGCAGGAGGTTGAGCTCTCCAAACATTTCAGGAGTCTCCAGGAATAGTATGTGGTTCATAAGGATGCTGAATAAGACAAGGGTTGACAGGTGGTACTGCAGCAGGTGCTCTTCTTGGTTGTTGATGAGCTCTAGGCTGGACCACAACTCTATTCTGCTGTGGGTATTGTTGTGGTGGAGTATTAGGATGAGGTGGTTGCTGATGATGAGGTGGCAGTTGGATCTGATCAGGATCCAGAAGTGAATGTAGGCTTTCAGAGTCAGAAAATGATGATTCATGGTCATCATTGGAATTGGGGTCAAAGGTTTCAGTCTTCTTTGAATCTGAACAGAAAGGAAAAGAGTCTTCTACAAACTTTGCAGTGCAAGAAATATTGATCTTTTGACCATTAAGGAAGTGATATCCTTTGTATTTTGTTCATAACCTAAAAATACCATCTCAATCACATGAGGTTCTGATTTGTCTTTGCATTGTTCTTTGGGAACCCATACAAAGGCTTTGCAGCCAAAGGTGTGAAAATAGGAAATGTTGGGCACTTTTCCTAAGAAAAGTTTGACAGGAGTTTTGAAAAGAATCCATTTTAAGGGAGTTCTATTGTACACATGAAGTGCACAGTCGAAAGCAAAGTTCCAGAAGCATTTTGAAATGCAGGCATGATGTCAAATAGTTCCTGCTTTCTCAGAAATTGTCTGGTTAAATCGTTCTGCATGACCATTCTGTTGTGGTTGATCAGCAATGGACAATTGATGAGTAATACCACGTGAAGAAAGGAGCACTTTGAACATATGACCCATAAATTCTCCCCCTCAATCTGAATGGAGTG